TCCCCAAAACCCCAAAACCCCAAAACCCCAATTTGAAAAATAGAAGTTGAAATTAGAAATTTTAAAACAAAATGGGTGTCAAACAGTCATATTTGATATGATTTTTACTTTTAATACTTTCATTTGGTTATGCGTGGCATCATAAAGATGCAGACCACGGATTAACAATCTCTACAAACATACGGAATGAGGTCAAGGCAGCAGGAGAATATTCTAAGAGAATCTTTCTGACATATCATGGAAACATTCAAGATGAATTCACTCTTGATAAGACTTACAAGTCTTGTCAGAACATTCCTAAGTTTGAGGATGATCTGTATGCAATAAGCAGGAAATTTTATTTCTCCCATCATGGAGAATCTGATGAAAATCATGATTTGAAATTGTATGCAACTATTAAACCTTATGGAGTCCATGGAGGTAGAATACCAATCCCAGTTTTCCCAGATACTATTACTTTGGACGATAAGACCCCTGTAAAAGTGAAGTATGATTGAAGTCAGATCCCTAAGGAATACACTCATGCTGTTGTTGAGTTAGAAGTCAGTAATGGGAAAGCTTTCCAGTATTTAAAGCAGTGCCATCAAATGCCAAAAATGTTCTGGATACATTTCATGCAATTCCTGGCGCTTGCCTTTCTGGCTATGACCATACTAATAGTAGGCTCTAAGATGGGAAAACTAAGTCTTTTTGAAAGAATTGATGAGTTTAGATTTGATTACTACAAAATTTCAATTAAAACAGTATTGATGCTGATCATCTTGAGCAGTGTTGTTTTGGTCATGTCTTACTATCTCTTACCATTTAAATGGTTCAACACAACCGTGACAGCATTGCTGTGAATATGAGCTCTTGTAATGCTTTTATTCTTATTCATGGACTTCATTGACTGGATGTTCTGCATTGAAGAAATCAATGAATTTGAAGGATCGGGACATTTCATGGACCAGCCATGCCTTGGTGGAGGATTCAACCTCAAGGCCACAATTTCATTATTCCTCTCTGTGGTTATTGTTTTGCTTTGGTTTCTGTTAAGACACTGGATTTTAAGTAATTTGTTGGCTATTTGAGTTGCTTGAACAATTGTAAAAGTATTTAGATTCAATGCTCTTTATCCAGCATTTCTGATCCTCCTTGGATTCTTAGTATTTGATGTGTTTTGGGTCTTTGCCAGCCCTGTGTTATTCAATGGGCACAGTGTTATTCATGAGGTTTTGAGGGAGATAGACTTCCCGTTAAAACTAGGAATTCCTGGCTCATCTCCATTTATATCCTGTGCAAATCTAAGTATCGTTGACATAGTTGTGCCTACGTTCTACATCAGCTTCATATCGAGGTTTGGTAGGGGCCAGAGTACGAACAGTTATTATCTAGCTCATGTTATAATGTATGCTATAAGTTTGGGATTATTCACTCTCATGATGGTTTACACAGGGTCAGAGCAGCCCGCACTGATGTATATAATCCCTTGCCTATTCATTACAACTTTTATTACAGCTGGAATCAGGAAGGAATGGGGCACTCAGTTGTCAATGAGCTCAACTCTTGAAGGAGAAGGCCCTATGTTTGTTTCAAGAGGTTCAGACAAGGCTATTGAAGAAGCCAGTGCAAGAGGTATGGATAGGTTTGATCATAAGCTATTCTCTAATGCTGGCGGTGTTGCTCAGCAATTTCAGAAATTTGAAGATGACCCAGCTGATGACGAGAGAGTCAATGAAAATTTTCAAAATCATGAAGAAGTTAAAGTAAAAGAGGAAAATAAGGAGTAGATTTCTCAAAATTCAATTATTTTCGCTCTGGGAGGGGTTTTGGGGTTTTGGGGTTTTGGGGTTTTGGGGTTTTGGGG